TTTTTTGTGGGGGGAATTTAATAGCAGAGATGGAGTTAAAATTGCAAAAGGAAGGAAAAGAAACTGAAACAATGAAAAGGGGGAAATCTGCAAGTAAAAATGTTAAGAAAGTTTTCTTTTTCTTTCGTGCATAGAGAAAATAATGCATACTCTAAATGTTAAATTAGGCAATGAAGTGAACGGGAAGGAGAACAAGAATGTGACTGAGTTGAAAAGGTTAGAAGTCAATATGCATTATAGGTATCTGAGAAAGAGACTACTTAGCAAAATATCACAAATAAAAATCCATTGTACAGAATTGACACTGTGTTCCTATGTTAATCTATTTATAAAATGGATCTTATGGACTCAGTCAGGTGAGCTACCTAGGGAGAAATCTTTAAAGACATTTACAGGTGTTTAGTGGGGTTTTAAAACCCCACTAGTAATATCCACGAGTAATCCATAGCAATTAAGTACATAGTAGGATTTTGAAACACCTAAGTGCCTTTAAACAAGCCTACCAGCACTTAAACAACCAAGTGTTGGTTAAACAACCAAGCCTATAAACACTTAAAGATAATGTATAGGCTTTTGCTTCTGCAGGTTATAATGGCACCTGGATCTCCTGACTCAGCTAAACTACTAAGTAAACACAAGCGTGGATGAAAAGGATTTGAAGGTACATTTACATTCAGTGACCAACAAGTGGGTGTTACCTCTTTTCCCACTACTAGCAACAAAACAGAGCAACTGCAGGCCAATTCAGCTCTGACTGAGTGTTAGAACATATTTAAGGGTATAAAATGTGTAAAAGTGAGATGCAAATACTTTGGGTAAACTGTTACTCACCTTCATCTACCTCCACAGTTCTCCAGTCTTACACTTAGCTAATTATTTTGTATGTGTGGGAAACAGGCTAAAGTGTTGGCCTCTAAATGTTATTTATGTTTGACAAACGGCTACTCACAGGCAGTACATGAACCTTTGGAAGGAGACGGACACTGGTTGGTACAATCTATATAGCTGTTGAGGGGGGCATGTGGATTAAAGGTTCCACTATATTAGCCAATATTCCCTCACATAATCTTTTACCTTCACTGGCCTACCTATATCCATTATTTGCTTTATCCATATTTTTCTGGGTGAGGGGGCTCACTATTCTTTGTGCACAGGTGTGTATGGAGGTCTCAGTGCCAGCAACTGAAGCGGGGCCACTAGTCATAGGGGCTATATGTTTGTGATGCCAGCAACTGGAGAGACCAGAATGCATGCCCATTGTGTGAGTCTACATGTCAGTGTGTAACCCCTAGCAAATATCAAACCAGGCTAGCTGGTGAGAAGGGCAAGAGGCTTGGGAACCAAGTATTAGAGCAGCCATGAGTTTGGGCTGGATGCTGGAGAAACCAGAGGGGGTCTGAGAGTCGGCTACTGGAGGGAGCAAGGGGTGTAAGCTAGCTACCACAGAGACTCTTGGGTCTGGGGGGTTGGCAACTATTCATGTCAAAAGTTTGGACCAGCTGCCTGGGAGACTCATTTGCATGTTTGTGGCTCTTTGTGTGAGGCAACGGGAAAACCAGGGGATCCAAGGGTTTTGCATGTGGCTCTTGGGGCCTTGCACGTACAGCTGCCAACAACTACAGAGACCAAGGATCCAGTGGCCAGCTGCTAAAGAGACTGAGTGTCTAAGACCAACTACTGGAGGTATCCATATCACATATATGTGTGTGTGTGTGTGTGTATATATATATATATGTATGTATGTATGTATGTATGTATGTATATATATCTTCCACCAATGGGCTTTCATCCTGACCAGCCAGAGAAACAGAATGAGGTTGCTGGTGCTGTTTGTGTTTGTATGAGTGCTGTGTTTTCTGTGTGTGTTGATCAGTGTGGCCAGCCTTGTGTATCTGTGTGTGGGGTACATGTGTGCGCTTATTGGGATTACACGCTCAGCCTCACTGCTGGGTGGGCCTGGGAGCATGAAGCTTTTGGGCTACTGGATTCAGCAGCCCCTAATAACTACCTTTGGGTTTTATATTTTTACATCACATAAGGTAACAGCTTCTTGAACTATGCCCAGGTTCTTTTATGCCACTAGAGTAAATATGTTTTAAAAATAATAATTTCAGAAAGACAATGTTATAATGATTATAAGAATGATCTGGGGTCTAGTCATCAGCACACAGGATGGCATACCACTGAGGAGTCTAATCCTGGCTCTGACACCCAAGGCTTGAAGCTGAAAAACCTTATTCACAGAAGTCTTCCACAGGTGCATTTTCACAGCTGATTTTTTGGATCAATTTACATGGTCTGAGATTTGCAACAAGCAAAGGCCACTCAAACAGACTTACTAGACTATGCTGGGGGAGAGTAACCGAGACACTGAATTTTAAAAAGTGACATACCAGCAGAAATGATCCTAACAGGACACAATGATTTGATCAGGCAAGTATGATCCTCACAACAGTATACGGAAAGATCGGCAAAGTGTGGGAAACTCAGTCCTGGAGGGCATATCCAAGGACGTATAGATTCCAGTAAAGCCCAAGATGACCTCACTAAACAGGCTGCTGAGCAAATAGCTTGCTCATGGATCTCTTCAAAAAATGCAGCTCACAGATAGAAGGACACTTATTTGAGTCCTTCTGCAGAGAAAATGGCACATAGTAGCCAGTCCTGCAGAAGCGGCTGCTTGCAAGACAAACATGCTGATCCTCCAGCTGCTTCACTGTTGTCAAAAAGGCATTTGACTCCATCTAGCATAGTGTGTGTGGACTACTCTGAGGTCATTTGCCATGGGAAGCAAGCTGCTAGCCCTGCTGAAAAACATTTCTGTAAAGGCAAGGTTGGAGCCCAGAGTACTTAGCCTAGCTGACGTCAATCATGTCACAGCAATGTGAGGGCAGGTAGGAAGGAAGGGGCCTCCCAGCCTAGAGATAGATTTGGGTTTTAGGGGGGGTTATTTGGAGTTATTTATTAATTGGTAGGGGTTATCTTGACTGTATTCTGAACTGCAGAGAGCTCCCAAGGTTCTTCTCCTGGAGAGCCCTAGCTGGGTCACCTTTAATCAGCCAGATAAGACACGTGGACAGGGAGGTTCTGCAACTCTGACCTCAAGGCTGGTCTTGCACAACAGAAGAGATGCGGTCAGACAGAAAAGATGCGTACAGACAGATGACTGCCTCCTGCCAGGGCTATATATTAGAATAGCTAGGTAAGCGATGGCATTCCACAGAAGAAGAGTCACACGGGCGTTAAAACGGGCAGCCAGGCTAGACAGCACTTTTCTATCTGGGAAACCATCAAACAGTTACCTACAGGAATCATAAAGGAGATACAGCAGTTCTTGCTAACATGTTTTCTCCCTTTTCACCGAAAACGAAGTTATTCAAACTATGCATATTCCAGGGCATGCCCTGTATTGCAGTGACATGAGCTTTCAGGAGAGCGGCTCCACAAAGACTGCTTGCCTTCCCAATTACGTTTCATTTCACGGCTTGTTATGTGCTGGCAAAAACCACTTCAGAAGACAGAGGTACAGAGAAGAAGGCTGTCGGCAAGATGACGAGAGTGACCACCCTTCTCTTCGGATGCTTCCCCCTCTGAAGGTCGCGGTCTGCCATGCAGAAGGGACAGCAGGCCAAAACGACCAGGGAATAATAACAGGGCAAGGCAATGATTTGCCTATACGTGAAACAAGAACAGGGCTTGCTTCCCGGGTGAAGATAACACACCTGTGCTTGTCAAACGTATTTCAGATTAGAAGCGAGAGGCGGGTGAGGAAGAGCCAGCTCCGCAGCAGAGCTACCGGGGAGTCTCCCTGCGGACACCAACGCGGTGAAGAGCGCTCCGTTAAGAACAGGTCCTGCCTGACTTAACCTAGAGCAGACACGCAACTAGCCGCAGGATCGGGAAACTTGACCAGACCTTCCCCGGCCGCTCTGACAGCGGGTCTGCCTGCGTTCAAAACCGCCGTTCCCCAAGGGCAGGGAGTGGCCCTCAGCACTATCCCTTACCGCCGCTAACCCCCGTTACCCCCGCTCCGGACAGGCACGTTATAGCGAGGAACTCCACCGCGGACACAGAGCTAATGTTATAAAACCTCATGGCGTCGCACATCCCCCTCCCTCTCCTCCCTTTTTTGACCGGGCCGCGGGGTGAGGGCGGGCCCCGGC